CAGCCTCCTGAGTAGCTGGGATTACAGGCACGTGCCACCATGCCCAGCTCATTTTTTGTATTTTTAGTAGAGACGGGGTTTCACCACGTTGACCAGGATGGTCTCGATCTCTTGACCTCGTGATCCACCCGCCTCGGCCTCCCAAAGTGCTGGGATTACAGGCTTGAGCCACTGCGCCCGGCCTCTTCTATTTTTTTTTTAATATTTTATTATAATTATGTTAAGTTGCTACATGTTGCTCCTCCGTCACCCAAGACACTCTCTACATCAAGTGATCAATTCTCTTCCCACAACCTTCTTGAATTTGCTCTCCCAAGATCTGACCCTATAATTAGAACAAATAAAAAATATTTTCAGAATATTATTTACACCTAGAACTATTATTGAAATAACCTCAAAAGCCCATGGAAAATAGCCACAATTTGTTATTTTGCCTTATCAATAGGAGAGATGTTAGAAATAATTAGGTGTGTTTGACATGTTTCATATTTCTTAACCAGCTCAGCCTTTATTGTAAGAGCTGCAGAGGATGCCAGGCGTAGTGGCCATGCCTGTAATCCCAGCACTTTGAGAGGCTGAGGCGGGTGGATCACTTGAGGTCAGGAGTTCAAGACCAGCCTGGCCAACACAGTGAAATCCCGTCCCTACTAATACCACAAAAATTAGCCAGTCATGATGGTGCAAGCCTGTAGTCCCAGGTACTTGAGAAGCTGAGACAGGAAAATCTCTTGAACCCGGGAGGTGGAGGTTGCAGTGAGCTGCTGAAATTGTGCCAGCCTGGGCAACAGAGTGCATTCTGTCACTAAATAAATAAATAAATAAATAAATAAGGCTGGATATGGTGGCGTACACTTGTAATTTTAGCAATTTGGGAGCCCGAGGCGGATGGATCACCTGAGGTCAGGAGTTTGAGACTAGCCTGGCCAACAAGGTGAAACCCTGTCTCTACTAAAAATACAAAAAATTAGCTGGCCATGGTGGCTCATGCCTGTAACCCCAGCTACTTGGGAGGCTGAGGCAGGAAAATTGCTTGAACCCAGGAGGCAGAGGTTGTGGTGAGCCAAGATTGTGCCACTGCACTCCAGCCTGGGTGACAGAGCAAGACTCCATCTCAAAAAAAAATTTTTAAAAAGAAAAAGAAAAAGAAAAAAAAGAGCTGCAAAGGAAGAATTATCAAATCACAGAAAACACTTAGCTGTCCCTGAATTAAGTTTGACTAGGTGAAATATTGTTAATTTAAATATTTCAAAAACAATATGCTTTATGTGAAGGCCCTGGAGATTTTTCAGTGTGTTCACTATCCATAATATGTTTTTATTTTCAAGGAAAAATATTGATCAAATTCATATAAAATAGTTATAGGCCGGCATGGTGGCTCACATCTATAATCCCAGCACTTTGGAAGGCCAAGGCAAGAGTACTGTTTGAGTCCAGAAATTGAAGACCAGCCTAGGAAATATAGTGAGACACCATTTCTTTTTTTTTTTTAATTGCATTTTAGGTTTTGGGGTACATGTGAAGAACATGCAAGATTGTTGCATAGGTACACACATGGCACTGTGATTTGCTGCCTTCCTCCCCTTCACCTATATAGGGCGTTTCTCCCCAGTCTAACTCTCCCCAACTCCCCACCCCTCGCTGTCCCTCCCCTATTTCCCCCCGACAGACCCCAGTGTGTGATGCTCCCCTCCCTGTGTCCATGTGTTCTCATTGCTCAACACCTGCCTATGAGTGAGAACATGCGGTGTTTGATTTTCTGTTCTTGTGTCAGTTTGCTGAGAATGATGGTTTCCAGATTCATCCATGTCCCTACAAAGGACACGAACTCATTGTTTTTTATGGCTGCACAGTATTCCATGGTGTGTATGTGCCACATTTTCCCTGTCCAGTCTATCATTGATGGGCATTTGGGTTGATTCCAGGTCTTTGCTATTGTAAACAGTGCTGCAATGAACATTCATCTGCATGTGTCCTTATAGTAGAACGATTTATAATCCTTTGGATATATACCCAGTAATGAGATTGCTGGGTCAAATTGAATTTCTATTTCTAGGTCCTTGAGGAATTGCCACACTGTCTTCCACAATGATTGAACTAATTTACACTCCCACCAACAGTGTAAAAGTGTTCCTATTTCTTGACATCCTCTCCAGCATCTGTTGTCTCCAGATTTTTTAATGATCGCCATTCTAACTGGCGTGAGATGGTATCTCAATGTAGTTTTGATTTTCATTTCTCTAATGACCAGTAATGATGACCATTTTTTCATGTTTGTTGGCCTCATATATGTCTTGTTTTGAAAACTGTCTGTTCATATCCTTCGCCCACTTTTGAATGGGTTTGTTTTTTTCTTGTAAATCTGTTTTAGTTATTTATAGATTCCAGATATAAGTCCTTTGTCAGATGGGTAGATTGCAAAAAAATTTTCCCATTCTGGTTGGTTGACGGTTCACTCTAATGACTGTTTCTTTTGCTGTGCAGAAGCTCTGGAGTTTAATTTGGTCCCGTTTGTCTATTTTCAGTTTGGTTGCCAGTGCTTTTGGTGTTTTAATCATGAAGTACTTGCCTATGCCTATGTCCTGAATGGTTTTGCCTAGGTTTTCTTCTAAGGTTTTTATGGTGTTAGGGCCTATGTTTAAGTCTTTAATCCATCTGGAGTTAATTTTAGTGTAAGGTGTCAGGAATGGGTCCAGCTTCTGCTTTCTGCACATGGCTAGCCAGTTTTCTAACACCATTTATTAAACAGGGAATCCTTTCCCCATTGCTTGTTTTTGTCAGGTTTGTCAAAGATCAGATAGTTGTAGATGTGTGCTGTTGCCTCCAAGGCCTCTGTTCTGTTCCATTGGTCTATATCTCTGTTTTGGTACCAGAGCCATGAGGTTTTGATTACTGTAGCCTTGTAGTATAGCTTGAAGTCAGGTAGTGTGATGCTTCCCACTTTGTCCTTTTTGCTTAGAATTGACTTGGCTATGTGGGCTCTCTTTTGGTTCCATAAAAATATGGAACACTTCACAAATTTGTCATCCCAGAGCAGGGACCATGCTAATCTTCTCTGTATTGTTCCAATTTTAGTATATGTGCTGCTGAAGTGAGCACCCAAATCTCATCTTATAACTCCCATAATTCCCATGTGATGTGGGAAAGACCTGGTGGGAGATAACTGAATCACAGGATTGGTACTGTCCTGTGCTGTTCTCTTGATAGTAAATAAGACTCATGAGATCTGATGGCTTAAAAAATGGGAGTTTCTGTGCACAAGCTCTTTTCTCTTGTCTGCTGCCATATGAGATGTCCCTTTCACCTTCTACCATGATTGTGATGCCTCCTCAGCCACACAAAACTGTGAGTCCATTAAACCTCTTTCTTCTTTAAGTTGCCCAGTCTTGGGTATGTCTTTATAAGCAGCATGAAAACAGAGTAATGCAATATTTCAAAGAACAGGTTCTTGAATACAGGATTCCAAGATGGCACTGCTTAGAGAACTTTGGATTACACCAGTGGGCTAAGCTGAATTTCCATGGCTAGTTTTACTCAGGAAGCAAACAGCTTTATGAAGGCAAACTATTACTGCTGGAAAACCCAGTAGCAAATAGTTAATGACATTATTACATTAAGTCTCCTTTTATCTAGGTTTTTTATCTTAACTGAATTTTTTGTTTTGTTTTTTGGCCAAACAAATTTTTGGTCAAAAAGTTATTCTCCACTCGTAGTGGCAATGATTGAGAATTTGGTTTTGTGCATTCACAATTTGGGTTCTTTTTCTAGGTAGATGACAGAACTCCATTCTCTTTTGAGAGAGATGACAGACAATCCCATGTGACACCCCTTTTCATTTATTTGTCCACTTTTATCTCAAATCAGTTAAGCATTTGGTGCCCATTGAGAAGAAAAACAGCTTTTTTATACCTGTAATGGTGATATTTTTATCTATTATTTATTACTCTCTAAAAAGCATTTATTAACACTTATTTTAATTTTCTTTCTGCATTCTGGGAAATAAACATGATACACAAAATGTAATAAAATGTTCTCATTTCAAATAAATATAATTTGATCTTGCAAAAAATGTAATAATCTGTGTAATTCACCACAGTATTAGTTCATTTTCACATTGCTATAAAAAACTACCTGAGACTGGGTAATTTATGAAGAAAAGATGTTTAATTGACTCACAGTTTCACAGGCTTAACAGGAAGCATGGCTGGAAAGCCTCAGGAAACTTACAATCCTGAAAGAAAGAGAAAGGAAAGCAAGTATGTCTTAGACATGGCAGAGCAGGAGAGAGAAAATGTGTGAGGGTGTAAGTGCCACATACTTTCAAAAAATGAGACATCGTGAGAACTCCCTGACTATCATGAGAACAAGGGGGAAGTCCACACCCATGATTCAATCACCTCCCAGCGGGCTCTTCCTCCAACACGTGGGGATTACAATTTGACATGAGATCTGGGTGAGGGCATAGAGCCAATCCATATCAGTATACTATCAGGAAAATAAAGATAGTCTCTAGTTAAATTGTCACTTACCAGACTCTCACAAGCATTTTTTTCTGGAGGAAAAGAACACCATTGTCTGTGGAATTATATTGACTTGGAGACTGTCGATTCTTATTTGGAGAAGGCAAAGATAAACTCTTTTAAAAAGCATTTAGTGTCCACTGGGCACAGTGGTTCATACCTGTAATTCCAGCTCTTTGGGAAGCCAAGATGGGAGGATCACTTGAGGCCCAGGAGCTTGAGGTTACAGTGAGCTCTGATTATGCCACTGCACTCTACCTGAGTGACAGAGGGAGACTCTGTCTTTAAATATATATAATAAATTTAAACTGTGTGTGTGTGTGTGTGTGTGTGTGTGTGTGTGTGTCTGTGTGTCTGTGTGTCTGTGTGTCTCTGTTTAGTGTCAAAAAGTGTCTTAGTTTGGAAGAAAAATAGCATCCAGTTCTTTGCTAAATCAACTAAGTTGTGTGGTAACTTTCCTGTTAATATTTCCTAGAGATCAGACCACATTCTGAATAATGATTCCTGTGTATCACACTAGTAATTTTCAAAATTAGTGGTTAAGTGTTTGAATTCAGCTATATATGTACTAATATATAAATCCAAAACAGATTTTTAAAACTCTGTTTATAGGAAAAGTAAAAATAATGATGCTATACGGGACAAATTTATCTTTTTTACAATTATTATTATTAACATTATAAAAACTGAAATCTATTGAATTATAAAGACTTAACACAGACTGATAAACACATATATCCCTGTTCACTTTAAGACAATATGTTAGTTTGCTCTTACAAGTGGTAAGTATATTTTAGTAATACAAAAATCACATGTAGGTATTCACCAATCTTAAAAGCTTTCTTATGTATAATCTATTCACCCTCAAAAGAATATATCACCAAGCAATAAAAGTTATTATCACTGTCTGCCTTCCTACGTTAGCAGTTGATTGGTACTTTGTATACTAGTTGGTAGAAGTAATCAACATTACTATATTTCCAATCCTACCATATGTGGCTCGTTTATGTGGAGGCAGAAATGCTGATCAAACCATGCCATCTCAAAACAGAACTGTGTTCAGTAAAAAAATCATATGGAAGCTATAAAAGTGGGTATTGAATCTGTTCTTAGCATTATAAAGAGCATCAATTATTGTCCAGCTCATGACATAATATGAAACCTTTTTTTCTCTTCATTTATAATGGTAGAAAATTATACACTTAGCCATTCTTTCATAACAACATTTATTTCTACAAGTTTCTGAAATAGACAAGTGTGTACTCAAAAATTCACAAGTCCAGTAAGATAAGTTTGTGATTTCCTTCTTTGACATTCTTTATAACTACTCCATTTCAAAGTGTGTATTAAAGCTGTTTGCTGTGAATGTGTGTTCAAAGATCCTTGACAGGTTTGGTTTCAACAGTTCTACTGATTAACATGAGTTGCTGAGAGGTGTCATTCTTAGGGGTGTCATTCTTGCTGAGAGGTGTCTTCAGGGATATCATTTGGTCTGTCTCAGGCTCCCTTCTCTCATAATACAGAGCCCAGAGATAAGTAGTGGTGAGAATCATGGCCAGGTTTGTGTCACTTTAATGGAAATTCTCAGAAACCTTAGCACTTGTGATTGTTTGGTTCCTTTCAAAAGAAAACATTTTTCTTCCCACTACCCTCTTGATAAACATCACTGAGACCTTCCTGGTGGGTTTGTTTGGAACATCCTGGGAATTCTCTAGCACAGCAGGATTCTGGGGGCCAGTCCATCCCTGCCACTTCCAACCAGTCATTGAAACATACCACTCCACAACACTTAAACTCCCACTAAAAAACTTCCAACCATGAGGAAGCCACTGGTATCCAGGTGAGTCATATTTGCCATTCTGGCTTTCAAAGTGACTACATCTAACCACTGTACTAGAACCATGCATTTCTCTTCATATGTCCAAATGCCACTAGCCAGTTCTGCACAGAAAATGACAAGTAAACTTCCAAAGTACTATGCAAGAAGCAACAGGGCTTTTTCATTGTTCCACAATATCCTGACATCCCCACGATAATAAGGAAACAGCAAATAGCAGTCATGACCAGATGAGTCACAGGAAAGTAGGTCAAGATAACCTCTCCTTCACTCTTGTTTCTGGAGTTAAAGTCAGACATTATTAGGTAGCCCCTCATCCAGGCAAAAACTGCCAACACACTGATGAACATTAACCACAAAAGCAAATTGAGGGGAGAGAGCAGGCAGCACAGGCCTCCCATGGAATCTTCTCTGGCCATTATGAGCCCCAGGAGGGAGAAGCCCTCTCCTCTCACCACATTATATTTCCATTGTCAAAACAGCAGCAATCACCAGCCCTGGGTATCATGCCACATTTCGATCAGACAGTGGGAGTGCATGGCAGAGGCTCATGGGTCAGGGATACTTCTCTTGGCTTTCTGTTTATTCTTGAAGGTATAAGCTCTCTGTGTGTCTGCGTTTCCCTAATTCAGAAAGGCCTAAAGTCTCATTGTAAGAGTATACAATGATTTTCTATCTTTGGAAGGCTCAAGGTCTCCAAGACTTTACAGTCAAGTCACTGGCCAGGAATGCAGTCTCATGTGAAATCTCAACTGGGGAAGAATCCACTTCCAAACTCACTCATGCAGCTGTCAGATGGACTCAGTTTATCATGGACTATTAGGCAGTGGTCTTCAGTTTCTCACTGGCTATTGGTCAAAAGTCTCTCTCACTTTCTTGCTACGTAAGCCTCTCTATAAGACAGGTCACAACATGACAGAAAGCTTCCCTCAGAGTGTGTGAGCCAGGGAGTAACTGAGAGCACCCAAGAAGGAAGTCATAGTGTTTTTGACACCTGATATCAGAAGTGACATCTCATCACTTCTGCCATAGATGATTCATTAGAAGGAAGTCAATACAGCAGCCCACACTCAAGGAAAGAACATTACACAAAGGTGTGAATACCAGGAGTCAGGATCACTGTTGATCATTAGAGGCTGCCTACCACAGACCTCAAAAAGCATTTATATATGTGGATTGTAACCATATTGGAAATTAAAACTAAGAAATTTTTAATATTCTCATTTATTGATTGATTCATTAAGATGGTACTGATAAATCCATTGCATGTTAACATAAACAACATTTCAGCATTATTATGTTGGGTTTTTTTTTTTTGAAATCATGGGCCCTGAGAGAGAACTACTGTCTTTAAGTGTCAATTTGTTTCAGAATTTGAAAACACATAATAAAAGTCAAAACATAGAAAGGTAAATTTATTTGCCTTGGTTTAATGTACCCACATATGAAATAAAAGCAATGAAATGTGTTGAAATTACAGCAAAATTCACTCAATGTTGATAGGCTTACCTCTTGCTTTAATATCGAATGGCTTTATTTGCCTATAACACGAAAGGCCATTCTTTATCTTCTTTATAATCTACCTATAGTAAAGGTTCTGGGTCTTACCAAAATAATGTTCTGAACTTTATATTGACTTTATTAAGACTTTTATGAAAAAAACAACAAAACAAAGATTTTTCACTTACAACATAAGGTTCTTTTCAATTCATGTTAACTTCTATGTTTACTTTCAAATATTT